CTTAAAGACTTCCTTAGCTTCACCAAACCACGGTTCATCAATATTAACAGGTTAACATCATTCTAGTATGAGTATTACGATACATATTTACAATTAGCGGGAATATTATTATACATATTTGCAATCCTTATAAACTTACATTCAAGAGCAAACTCTCTATAGGACTATTTTACAAACTTTAGCAAACCTCTAAAAGAGATCTCTTAACACAACTATTTACGTTTTCTTCCAACAAGACAGAAGGTACATGAATCATGAGTCACCACAGTTAAAATTGTAGGTGAACTCAAAATTTTCATTTCTGAAGTTTGTAAAAGCTCAGAATAGTCAGTTCTAATAACAGTCTTATAGTTCCCCTGAAAGTTTGAAATCAGAGCCTAATTCATCAGCAGCTCTAGAGCCTTTCTGTCCAGCTCCCTCGACCCCAGGATTCAGTGAGTGCTGCTGCCAGGGGGCTGCCACTCCTCCTGAGCCACCTTCCTTGCCAGCCATTCCGGAACTGGCAGAAATGCACCCAGTGGCAGATGGTCACCATCTGGGTGGTGGTCCCTTTACCCAAATTCATTGCAGTTCCCCCGAATGCAACAATTCAAACGTTGCTGAAACTTCACTGCCAGCTACAGCAGCATTTTATGACAGTCTTTCTCGAGAACCTTACCTCAGAGCAAAGGTGGTTGCCATTGTAACTGAGCTGCTACAGAACTCCTTTCAGAAGGCTCTCTGCTCAACCAGCAGACAGAAACTGCATGACTTTAGCTGCTAGCTCTTTTCAGGCTTTTACAATCCCAGTCCTGAGGCCTGAGCACTCTCAACTGCCTCTCACCCCAGGGGCTCAAGCTTCCTCATGCTGATACAAGCTATGACTCTTAAGCAACCCTGGCTCTGGGAAGAAACCCAGCCACTACGAGCTGTGGTTTCACTTACACTGTATTATCCTGGGTGTCTGGCTGTTCAATTATGGGGAACATTTGAAATCCTTGCACCTCTTTCCCTCTGCTAGCTGCCTCCTGAATACTGGCTTGAAGAGGTGGTGCAGCACTAGCAGCAAGGGTTGACCATGATCTAGGAGGCTTTTGTGCCAGGGCAATTATGAGTGGCTTTCCCATTCGGTAGACCCCCCCAGGTGAGTCTAATTCCACCCCTATAGAAGGAAAAGAGACCTGAGAAGGAGAGACCTGATGAAGAGCTTCCAGTTTTTGAGAAAGAGAAATTACTAAGTTTTTCAAGCCCTTTAGTTCCTCCTTTGTCTCATCCTAAGACTTCTGTTCCTTAAACTTGGCTTCATGGCCAAGAGGGAACTGACCCTGACTGAATGATGTTGTAAAAGTGTTCTCATCTAGCAGCACTGCTGGCAGAGTGGAGGGTTTTGTCTCTCCCGAGTACACCTCAGGGAAAATTCCCCCCAGCTGCTCAAGGCTTAGCTCTAAACTGTTCCAAATTAACGCCCACAGGCCAAAAGCTTCCACAGGAATCTTTTCCAGCCCATATGCCTCATAATATTTTTGCATTTTGACTCTGATTCTCCCCCAGGAGTCTATTCCAGAGTCCCATAGTCAGGGAACCAAGGACACAGTTCCTCTATGAACTCCAAAAACCTCTGTTTGTACTTGTTGTGGTTCTACCTTAACTCCCCTGGTTTTCAAACTTTTTACAAGCAAATATTCAAACATCTGCTTGCTGTTTCTCTTCCCCATTTCGGCTTTTCTTTCTCAGACTGCTAAATCAGAAGTGGCTGCTTGTTCCTGGACACTATTTTCAAGTCTGGCACTAGGGAAATTCTCCTCTTACCCTAAGTTGCTTCCTACACTATATTCCTATACCTAAGCCCTATATTTTCCCCTAATTTAAGAGAGAGAGAGAGAGAGAGAGAGAGAGAGAGAGAGAGAGAGAGAGAGAGAGAGAAACATAGACAGAGTGAGAGATACTTGCTGCAGGCTAATTTTTCTATATTTGCTCCCGAAGAATAAAATAACACCTAACTTTTTCATACAAAACCGGACATGTCCACCTGCTTCCACGAGATTTTCCTGCTCTCACTTATCTATCCTCTGTACACAAGTCCCTGTTCAGGTGCCATCTGTGGGAGGTCAGCTCCCACCTTTTCCAGGGTTCCTATGAGGAGGAGAGAGGGATAAGAAACTTTTAGATAGAAAGATAGCAGAGAGGAGACAGACAGAAACACAGGATAGCTTCAAGAGGCCTAGATCAAAATTCAATGGCCCCTTCTGTCTCTTCAGAAGGGCTTTTTTAGCAATGCCAATAGGCAGGACAAAAGACGTCCCCCTTGCTAGATCAAAGCATACTGCACAGCCAAGTGCAGACCCTTCCAAACACCTGGAAACCATGCCTGTGGTCAAATCATCCCCTTATGCAGCCCTGCTGGGTAAAGCAAGCTCAGATACTTGGACCCTAAGTTCTAACTAGAAAACCTCTGTGGGTCTCTACAGATTGCTTTATTTTTTTTTAATTTTGGTCAGTTGCCTTTATTATTTTATTTAATGTTATTTTGTCTGATGTATAAAACAATATTATAAAAAATAAACTGAAAATTTAATTTCCTGATTTGTTGTAGCAGTAACAAAGGACTGCCATAGAACTGCCAGTCCTACTGCCTGATACACATCTAAAAGAACTGAAATCAGGACCATAAAGATGTGTTTGTGCAATCTAGCTCATAGCAACATTGCTCACAATCCCCACAGCAGACATTCAGAAACTGAATTTGTGGCAAAGCCCGTCACTACTCATTTGGGCCCAGGAGGTTACTGAAAGCAAGATGGGAGTACAGTCTCTTCACTACTCTGTATCTGATTATCCCACGATGCTCTCTCAGGAGCACCTGCCTAGAAACTGGGGATACCCAGCCCTGTCATTCTGCTTCGAGGCTAAAGGAACAGTGATGAGGGTGACCGAAGCGCCTTACTGACAGATTTGCAGAGTTACACACCTGCACAGTGTGACCTAAATGTCTCCAGTCCTTGTCCTCAATCTGCAGTCACCTTGTGTTCCAGGAGGCAAAAGAGCCTTGCAGGACTGAACCTCTCCTATGAGAGAATTCTCTCTGATGGTGAGTCTCTACCTGGAGTAGGAATAACCATCTGAGAGCCGCCTTTCCCCTCATGTAAGGACTTCAGACTACCGTGCTACATCAAGATTGAGACAATGGTCAACCAGACTATGCCTTGGCCCAAACTTCTTAATTATACACTTATCTTGCCCTCTGTCCTCATTCTCACTCTGAGCAAACCAGTGCCTCGTGCCTATGCTCAGGTGAATGAGGTTACTGGATCCCTCTGGTAGTCTTTCCAGTGTGCCACACTGATTAATCTCCTTTCTCTGCCTTCCTCTTTAAGTGGCATATCAGCACTCTCATACCTGGGTTTGCCTTAAAAGTCTAGGTGATAAAAGCAACCAAGTTTGCATAAATAGATGACCCAGTGGATGGAATGTTATTCAGCCTTGAAAAGAAGAAATCCTCTCACAAAATATTACATGGGAAAATGGGAGGTGGAAGAACTTACACTTAGTGAAGTAGGCCAGTCACAAAACTACAAATACTATATAAGGTATCTAAATTTGATAAGTTCATTGAAAGAGTATAAAATGGTAATTACTGGGCTGCAGAAGAAAGAAAATGGATTGTTAATGGAGATAGTTAGTTTTCCACAGTGTTAAACTTCTACAGATGAGCTATGCAAGGATGTGGTAGATATAATTAATACTACTGAGTGCACATTTAGAAGATTGTAAAATTTAAGCCATGTGTCTTTCTTGACACAATTTAAAAAGTTTAAACACAACACACCCTCCACATGAATACCATGGTCCTGGGAATGTTTTATTTTCTCAGAAGGCTTATGTTTCTCATGATTAACCTACTTTTCATAGCCTCACTATGTTCCAACCTGCTAAACAACATCCTGTAAGGCATGAAGGTGTGTCTGCTCATCTTTACATGTCTGTGACATGGAAATATACCTCTTCCTGTGCATTTTAAAATTCTAATTGGAGACTGATGAGTATAGCTCAGTGGTAGAGCACTTCCCTAGCATGCACAAGACCCTGGTTTTGATTTCCGTCAACACAAAAAATAAATAAAAATATAAAAATAGGGGCTTGCAAAATAGCATGGAGAGCAAAGTGCTTGCCACTGAGTCTAGGACCTAAGTTTGATCCTTGGGCCTGATGGAAGGAGAGAATCAGTTCCCATGTCAATCTCCCTTCACATGCCTGCCACACTTGCTCATGCATGTGCATACACACACACACACACACACACACACACACACACACACACACACACGTGTGTGTGTGTGTGTGTGTGTGTGTGTGTGTGCATGCACAGTTTTTAATTACTTTAAAATTTTAAAATAATACTTATCTAAAGAAAATTTTTTTAAAAGATGTCTGGGAGGCCTGGGGAGATGATTCAGCAATTAAGAGTATGTCCTTGCTCTTGCAGAGGACTTGGTCTTAGCACCCACATCAGTGGACTGATAACTGCCTATAACTCCAGTTCTAGGGAATCTGATGCCTGGCAGCTTCATGCATGTGGCACACATAAACTCATGTAAGCCCATATACATACACATAAAATATCTAAAAAATGACTTTCCTTTTAAGTTTATGTACTATATATTAGACTAATTTCTTATAATTGTCCAAAATGATAAAACAGCATGGCAATTGAGTAACATTAAGAAAAGAGCAAATGATGAATTGTGTTGACAAAAGCACTATGAATAGACAAAGTATAAAAGAATTTTCAAACTTGATCTTGAGAAGAATCATGTTGGTGACCGTGGCTGAGGTAAGTAGAATGTAAGTAGAATGAAAGTACTCATAAGAGACAGGAACTGCCGCCCCCCCCCCCCCCCGATACTATACAGTAGATAACAAAGGACAAACCTGAACTGGGCACATGAATTGTTAGTCACAAACTAGTTAGCAGAAACTGTATTTGCATTTTTCTCATATCTTACTCATTGTATATAAAACAGAACTCCTGGAGCCCTTGGATGGAAGAGACATGCTAAATGAAGCTTTTCCTGGCCCAGCTTTAACACCTGAAGGAGAAAACACATTTCCAGATCTTCCTTCCATTGGTTCCACACACAGACATGCTGTTCATCAGAAAATACCATTTGGCCCTTCTAACAGGTAAAATATATTGAATTGAGAGTTTACAATATAAGGAAGTAGTTCACATTCAGCACTTCAAATACAATTGTGCATCTGGTTTCTGTATGTTGGTTTTGTATCCTGCCACTTTGAGGAAAGGACTTTATCAGATCCAAGAGTCTTATGGTGGATTCCATTGTATCATTTTTGTATCATGAAATCTACAAGTAGAGATAATTTGTCTGTTTTCTTATATCCCTTTTATTTATTTCTATTACTGCTATTTCCAAGACTCCAATCTCAATATTAACTAAGAGTAGAGAGAGTGAGAACCCTTGTCACATTCTAAGGTTATAGAGGAAATGGCCTCAATACTTTTTGTTGAGTATAATTTTGTCTATAGATTTAACATATACAGACTTAGTTCTATTAGATCTGTGTCTTCTATACCTAATTTCTTCAGGACCTTCATGCAGGCATGTTGAACTGTCAGATACCTATCCTGAACCTACTGAGATGATTATGTAATTTGTTAACACAGCCCAGGAGGCTAGCTCCTGGAACTTACCCAGGGTAGCAAAAAGAATGCCTCAGAGTAGTGAGGGCTTAGGAAAAATTCTTATCTATCTGAAGACTAGACTTCTATCTGAGGGGAAAAATAAAGAAACACACATGCTTTCTGATGGTAACTTTCTCTTTTACTTCATCTTGAAAACTCTCTCTCTGTCTCTGCGTAGTTACATCTATTTACATACAGCTACATATCTCTCATTACATACAAACATCTCTCTTCTACACAGCCATACATGTCTATACTCTATTTTCACACAGTTACATTTTCCACACATTCTCCACACAGCCATATACTTCTATATACAGTTATATCTATTTTCTCTACACACAGCCCTCTCTGCACACATCTCTTTCATACAGCTCTCTCACCTACATAGCAGCAGCTCTCTCACATAGCTCTCTCCTCTACTACTTCTCTACTCATCCTCTCTCCTCAGCTCTCTCTGTATGCCCAGCTACATCTCCCTGTCAGTACACACACATACACACTCACACACACACATATCAATAGCCAAACTCTGGACATTTATATGTTACATTTTCAGGGGCCAACCCATTCTCATAATACACGATAAATCACATAGTTTCTCTCAGGCTAGGGAAGTGGCACAGACTGGCCAGTGAGTTAACACTTGGCTGTGCACATAGCTCTGAGTGGTCAGGATTCCCAGACAGAAAGTGACATTGAAATTCAGGACTTAAACAATAAACAGTTAGTTGGCCGAACCTTGAGGCTAGGAATATATGCAGAAAGCCAACCACTGAAAGGACCTGTACAGGGAGCCATGTCTCAGTGTTACCAGCCTGACTTTGATTTAACAGCCACTTGGGAACTTGTCCTTGTGTATTCTCTGCAGGGGCAGCTAGTCTGTTTTGAATTTGTTCTGAAGTCTAAAATTAGCTGTCTTTGTGACTGAGAATACTGCTACTTTCCTATGTCAGTTATGAAAATATCCTAGTATTATTTCAATTCATCAGAATTATACAGCTTAAGTGGAAATTATCTTCCTGACATTCCACAGCTATAAGTGCCCCCAATAGATGGAATATATGCATAAGATAAACAGACAAGCAATGAGAAAACACCCATAGCAGTTTTTAGGGAAGAAATGTAGTAGTGACACATGAGAAATTACAGACAGAAGCAACCAGTTTCCAGAGCCAGTAACCCCATGGTCTTTGCCAAGTGGGGCTTCCCATCAGAGAGTTATTCATCTGGTAGGTTGACCTGTTGAATACTAGTTGTCACCTGCACTCAGGGTGGTTGGTCCACAACCAAGTAAGACTTGATGACAGCTGTCTCATGCCAGCCTACATAGTCCCTTCTGGTGCTTTAAGGGCTGTCCTTCTGAGAGGGACCCTCCTTCTCAGTTTATTTCTCTGTATCTTAAGACCAAAATATTGCGATGTCTTCAGCAAGAGTCTTACAATCTAGTGCTGATGGCAACCATCAGCTTTCATATCCTTTATTGTTTTGGGGACCTCATGAGCTAATCCCTGATGCTGAGGTTTTTAGTTAATAACCTTATGTTTTCTGGGACTGGGTTTATCCACTTGCACATGGTACCTTTGTCCAAACTTTTATTATCTAATTAGCCTACAAAATCGTAGGTTTTCTTTTAGCCCTTTGCGCATACTTAGTTCTGGTTGACCCTCCTCCCTTACATCCTCTATGTTTCTTTTCCCCACCTCTACTGAAGCATTCTGTGTCCAGTTTTGACCCTTCTACTGTCCTCTGAAATGTGCTCATCTCCCTCTGTTCTCATAAAGCCTCTCCCTGCTTCTTCTTGGTCCCTTTCTAGTTTCCTGGTTTCTATACACACATCTACATAAATCCACTATAAAAATTAAAATATAGGATCTGCACATAAGGATGGATGCTTGTTTTATATGAGCCAGAGTTACCTCACTTAATGTATTTTAGTTGTATCAATTTTTCTTCAGTTTAATTTTTCTTTATGGTTTAACAAAATTGCATTGTGTTTGTCTCCTACATTTTCATTATTCATCAGCTGATGGCCATTTATGCTTGCTTCCCTTGCTACTGTGAACAGAGCAGCAATAAAAAAAATGTATCTGTATGGTAGGGCACAAAATACTGTGGATATATAACCAGGTATATCTGTCTCATGTGGTAGTTCTGTTTTTAATTTTTAAAGAAACCCCTCCAGTGATTTCCAGTGGTCACACCAGTCTCCCTCCCACCATCAGGGAGTAACTCCTTACATCTACCAGCATTTGATTTTGTTTTCACAATGATAGTTATTCTCTGGTGAGGTGAAATATCAAAGTAGTTTTGACTTGAATCTTCTTGCCACCTAAGGATGTTGAACACTTTCAAAAATATTTATTGATGATTGACATTTGTTCTTTATAGAACTTTATGTTTATTAGCCCATTTAAAATTTTTCTATTTTCTCATTAAACTTGTTCTTTGACATATTTATACATGCTTAAAATGGATTCTAATTACTCTCATTTTCCACCTCTGTCAGCCTCCTATCTCCATACAAATTACTTGGTTAGATTACAGAATAGTAGATTTACATATGGCTTTTCATATACCCTCTATGATAATTAACCCCCTCTTCTCTCTCCCCATACCTCTAGTCCCCTCCCTGCTTACTTTCCACTTCCAGTGTTCTCCCTCTCTACTTTCATTTTACCTATTATTGCCCCTCCCTTAGGAGATTCCTCCCTCCTTCCATTGCCCCTTTCTCATTTCCACAAGTCCATGTTAAACACATATAGCTAAATATTCAAAGCTCGGATGCACATGTGCGAGAGAACATAGGTTTTCTTTGTGTCTGGGTCACCTTTATCCAGCTTCATCCATTTGTAGTTGTTTTTGTATAAGGATCTAGTTTCATTCTTCTATATACAGATAACTAGTTTTCTTAACACCATTTATTAATGAGGCTGGTTTTATCCAGTGAATATTTTTGGCATCTTTATCAAAAATCACATGGCTGTGGGTATGTGAGCCTTATCTGGATCATCTTTTCTATTTCTTGTCCCAGTGCCCTTGAACCATGTTGTTTGGCCTTTTGTTTATATGTACGTGAGTGGCTTCCTCATGTGTGTGGGTATGTGGATGTGTTTGTGGAAGCCAGTGGTCAGTCTCAGATGTCATCCTTGCAAGCCACCCGCCTTGTTTTGTTGAGATAGTATCTCTCAGTATGAGTCTCATTGATTAGGCTAGGCTGGCCAATCAACAACTACATGGATCAGCTTGTCTCCACCTCTCCAGGGCTGGAACTACAAGCATACCCAGCTTTTCTACATGGTTCTGGGAACTGAACTCAGGACCTTATGCTTGCACAGAAAGAACTTTACCAATTAAGCTCTCTCTCCAGCTCCTGTACTGATTTTATAACATAACTCGAAATCAGACCTAATACCTCCAGCATTGCTTTGACTGCTTTTGTACTTCCAAATGAAATTTCGGATTTTTCTCATATTTCTATGAAGAATGATGTTAGATTTTTATTTGTTTATTTTTTGTAAGACAGTCATTTTTACAATATTGATTCTTCCAATCTATGAACATGAGAGATCTTTTCATCTGCTAGTGTGTTCTTCAATTTCTCTCAAGTGTCTTAACACTTTCATTACAGAGGTTTTCATTCCCTTGATTAGGTTTATTCCAAGGGGAGAGAGAGAGAGAGAGAGAGAGAGAGAGAGAGAGAGAGAGAGAGAGAGAACTGTGAATTGGATTGTTTTCCTGATTGATTTCCTCCTCACCATGTTTGTTATGGTGTATAGGAAGGCTCCTTCATTTTCTACTTTTGTGTCTTGTTTCTTTGTTGAAAGTGTTTATCATCCAGGCCCTCCTGGATTTTTTAGTTCCTATTATTTGCTGTTCAATGTGACTTGATGTTTTTCTCCGCTTTGTTCTGTGTATTAGTATTTTAAATATAGAATATGACATTGTGCGGTTCTTTTCTGATCTTGGCTGTTTGTGTTCTCAATGCTTTCTCTGTCTGGACTGGAATCTCCATAAGTCTGGGAAGTTTCTGCTATGATTTTTTTTAAAGTTTTCTATGCCTTTAGATTGAAATTTTTCTTTATGTCCAAGAATCTTAGATTTGGTGTTTTCATGGTGTCTCATGTATCTTGGAAGTAGTCGTTGTCCTTCTCCTTGATGCTGTCTCCAGGCTCACTACTCTGCCCCTTCCCTGACCATTCCACTGGGAAGACTTATTTTAATTTTCTTGTATTTCACTTTGGTTTTTTGTTTCAGAATCCACACCCCTTCATCCCTTTACTGAATCCCTCTCTCATGTCACATATTGAGACTGTCTTATTTCATTCAGCTGTTGTGTCTTCTGAAAATTCTTTCAGAGGTTTGTGTCTTCTTTGATTTTCTTGAACTTATTTATACTCATTCTTTTGCAGTAGGTTTGTTTGTCTGTCTGGGATTTAATTCACTCACACTGGAGGTCATCACTGTGGGTTAGTAACTT